GTACAATGTCATGAACCTCTGTCCATAGTTCTTCAGGCAGTCTGTCTATCAGATCTAATCCCTTGAATCTATTTGTCACTTCCACTGTATAATTGTATGGGATTTGATTCAGGTTATACCTGAATGGTCTAGTGCTTTTCCCTACTTTCTTCAATTTAAGTCTGAATTTTGCAATAAGGGGTTCTTGACCTGAGCCACAGTCAGCTCCCAGTCTTGTTTTAGCTGACTGTATAGAGCGTCTCCAACTTTGGTTGCAAAGAATATAATCAACTAGAGTCTTCTCTTGTGTTGTTGGAAGAGGGTGTTTGCTATGACCAGTGCGTTCTCTTGGCAAAACTCTGTTAGCCTTTGACCAGCTTTGTTTTGTACTTCAAGGTCAAATTTGCCTCTTACTCCAGGTATTTCTTGACTTCCTACTTTTGCATTCCAGTCCCCTACAATGAGAAGAACATCTTTTTTGGGTGTTAGTTCTAGAAGGTTTTGTAAGCCTTCATAAAACCGTTCAACTTCAGCTTCTTCAGCATTACTGGTCGGGGCATAAAATTGGATTATTGTGATATTGAATGAGTTGCCTTGGAAATGAACAGAGATCATTCTGTCACATTTGAGATTGAAATGCAAGTACTGCATTTCAGACTGTTTTGTTGCCTATGATGACTATTCCATTTTTTCTAAGGGATTCTTGCCCACAGTAGTAGATATAATGGTCATCTGAGTTAAATTCACCCATTCCAGTCCATTTTAGTTCACTGATTCCTAAGATGGTGATGTTCACCCTTGCCATCTCCTGTTTGACCACTTCCAATTTGCCTTGATTCATGGACCTAACATTCCAGGATCCTATGCAGTATTGTTCTTTATAGCATTGGACTTTACTTCCATCACCAGTCACGTCCACAACTGGGTGTTGTTTTTGCTTTGGCTCCATCTCTTCATTCTCTCCAGAAAGAGTTATTTCTCCACTTTCTCTTATAGATGGTGTCAAACCATTGAAAGGTTTTAGATCTCATTAGCAATATGGAGGGAGAAGGCAGTGGCAACCCACTCCAGTACTCTTGCCTGGAAAACCCCATGGACAGAGGAGCCTGGTAGGCTGCAGTCCACGGGGTTCTGCAGAGTCAGACATGACTGAGCGACTTCCCTTTCACTTTTCACTTTAATGCACTGGAGAAGAAATGGCAACCCACTCCAGTGTTCTTGCCTGGAGAATCCCAGGGATGGCGGAGCCTGGTGGGCTGCCATGTATGGGGTCGCACAGAGTTGGACACGACTAAAGCGACTTAGCAGCAGCAGCAGCAGCAATATGGAGGTGGAGGCTAGAAGCTGGAGATTTAATAGAGGATAGCATTGGTCCATGTGAGAAATGATGCAAGCAAAAAAAAAGGCCATCCCAGGAGATGGAAAAAAAGGATGCAGAGGAGAAACTGTTTAGAACAAGTGATCAAGGCTGGTGCAGGGTGGTGACAAAGAGCTTGATCTTTGGAATTAAACAGATCCAAGTTTCAGCCCAGCTGTCTATTAGCTCTGTGACCTTAAGCAAGCAATCTCTGTATTAGTCTCTTCTGTATAAAGCACTGCTAATCAGAGTACCTACCTTGTACAATAGGTATTTCAGATGAAAATGTGTGGGATTCGTATAGTGTCTGGCACATTATGCTAATGTGCCCATTCAATATTGGCTGTAATTATTACTACTGATTGGGCTTCCCTGGTAGCTCAGCAGTAAAGAATCTGCCTGTAATGCAGGAGACTGGGACTTGATCCCTGGGTCCAGAAGATCCCCTGGAGAAGGAAATGGCAACCCACTCCAGTTTTCTTACCTGTGACATCTCATGGAAAGAGGAGCCTGGTGGGCTACCTGATTCATTGGGTTACAAGAGTCAACCACAACTCAGCAACTAAATCACCAATCACCACTATTACTACTAATTAGACATGGGGGTGGAAGGAGATGAGAAGGGAGAGGTTGAAGACTCAGGTTTTGAGACAGAAAGTAGGGGAAAGACAGTGTCCAGACCCAGGTGAGGAATCCGGGTAGAAGAGCACACTTGGGGGAGGGAGTTTTGAGTTCCAGATTTGGATATGCTGAAAATGTCTGTGGGACATTAGCGGAAATGTCCAGCGGGCATTTGGCAGAGAGATTTGGGCAGGAGCTGGAGAACTGGAGGACACACAGCACAAAAGAGGAAGTTTAAGCCAGTGGAGCAGGGGTCCCCAACCTCTGGAATCTAATGTCTGATGATCTGAGGCGGAGCTGATGTAATAACAGAAATGAAGTGCACAATAAATGCAATGCGCTTGAATCACCCTGAAACCATCTCCCCGTCTCTGGGTCGTGGAAAAACTGTCTTCCACAAAGCTGGCCCTGGTGCCAAAGTGGTTGGGGACTGTTGCTGGACTTCTAGATGAAGTCATTTAGAAAAAGGCCCTCAAGTCGGCAGAGGGGAAAACGTGAAGGACACTAGCACGAAGAGGCGGCAGAAGAAGGGCCCCCAACAAAGATGCTGGGATAGTTGCTGATGGAAGAGGGAGGCCCCCCCTAGAAGAGGTGCTGCCATCCAGTGGGCGGGTGCCTGCTTTTTGCAGGGCAGCTCACACAGACAGATAGGACAAACACTTAGAAGAAGAAGCTTACAAGAACGCTCCAGAGCCCCTCAAACGTCTCTTTAATGGGCTGCGATTCTGTTTCAGTTTCCTCTTTGCTTTCTTCTCTCTTCCTTATGAATAAAAAAAAAAATCACTTGCAATTTTTCTGCCTGTCTCTGCTCATAGGGTGGAGGCTGTGTGAGCCCCCATGTAGAAGGCAGATCCTCTGAATGCATTACATGGGCGGACCAGGGAGACCAGATGTCCCACGTCACCTCCCAGCCCCAGACAGTCACTACTTTGAGAAGTGGGTTAAATACTCTAGCCAGGAAGGAAGGAAGTGTTGGAGGTCTGTGGGAATGCAATGCAGTTGCTTTACCATCTTTGGCATTGCAGAGGACACATGCATTTCAAATTAACTTTAAAGCTTGTCTCATATTGAGACAATACCATGCATGTCTGGGGCAGGCAAGAGGCTATATTTATGTAATTTGATTAAGTATAACTACATGTTCAGAGTTTGACTGAGTGGGACTAATGGGTGGGAACCCTTTATATTTGTTGCCACTGTCAGCAGATTAGTGTGGAACTCTACCTGTCCTGGGCTTCCCAGGAGACGCTGCGGTAAAGAACTGACCTGCCAATGTAGGAGGCCTAACAGACCTGGGTTTGATCCCTGGGTTGGAAAGATCCCTTGGAGGAGGTCATGGCAACCTACTCCATTATTCTTGTCTGGAGAATCTCATGCACAAAGGAGCCTGGTGGGCTACAGTCCATGGGGTCGTGAAAGAGTTGGGCACAACTGAAGCGACTACCTCTGCTTCTCCATTGACTGCCAAATTCTGCCTCCCACCATGAAAGGGTGTCCTAGTGAAAAACTGAAAAACTGCAAAAGATGCTCCTTAAAGCTCCCTCCGTGGACTAGACAACTGTGTCTCAGAATCAAAGGCTGGGGTACTTGCCCCAGGATGGCTCGTGTCCGCCACTATGCTGAGTGTGCACAGACCCTCAGTATCATCCAGACAGTTATTTTGGGTACTGTGCAAGGAATCTTGGGATGCCAGTGAAATCCAGTTTAGTTGACTTCTAGGTCCATAGTGACGAGGATGATGGGGAAAGAATAGCAAACCCATCCCTGATGCTTAATGGACCCAGACATTATTTATAGTATTTTACATGTAATAACTTCATCCTTGGGCAATCCGTTTCTTACCTATCACTTTGTCTCTTACTGAATTCTTTCTGTGACCAGACATAAAGAACTCGAGCTTCATTAAGTCCTGAGATCAGGTGTGTGATTTCAATTAAAAGACAGTGGGTTCAAGTCCCACTGACAGGGCCAACTATAAGTTAAGATAATCATGTATGGGTGGGGAGGGCCATTGTTGCTCCATACCCCCTCTCCAAGGTTTTCCGATGGAAACAGTTGTCACTCCAAAGGGGAGATTTCACCTCTGTAGACACAATGATGTGAAGACTATCCTATATTGTTCGTGCTCATGCTCACTCAGTCATGTCCGACTCTTTGCAACCCCAAGAGCTATAACCGGCCAGGCTCCTCTGTCCATGGGATTTCCCAGGCAAGAATACTGGAACAGGTTGCCATTTTCTCCTCCAGGGGATCTTCCCAATCCAGGGATTGAACCCACGTCTCTTGCACCTCCTGTATTGGCAGGTGGATTTTTTTTTTTTTTTAAACCACCGAGTTACCTGGGAAGCCCTGTATTGTCATGAGAGCACAAACTGGTACAATATTTTCAGAACAGAATTTCACAATATGCAAAAATTTGAAATGCACATGCTCTTTTCCTTAGCAACCCGCTTCTATAACCCTATGACGTGGAAGTGCTAGCAAAAAAAAATCTATGTAGAAGGATGCACATTGTCCCGTTGTAAGAACAAAGATTGAAAACAACTTCAATGCCCATCATAAGGCTTGGTTCAATGAATTACATTCATTGAATGAACGTCATTCATTGAATTACATTCATTCCATTCCATTCCCTGGAATATAGTGAGCTAAGAGGCAACATAAACTAGATGTGTCTATATTGACATAGGGAGACCTACTCAATATATTGCTAAATGGAAAATCTATGTCTGGAATGATACCACTAATATTATTAATAGTATCATTAAATGATACCATTAAAGAAAGTGTGGGGGGCAGAGATAGCTAGTTGTTTGCAGGATCCCTTCTTTGTTTCCTTTAGTAATAGAATTCAGGTCCCCTCCCACTCTTGTCCATTTTATTAATAAGCGGGTAGCTAAAGATGACATTGGATTTCCCTGATGGCTCAGATGGTAAAGAATCTGCCTGAAATACCAGGAGACTTATGTTCGATCCCTGGGTTGGGAAGATCTCTTGGAGAAGGGAATGGCTACTCACTCCATATTCTTGTCTGGAGAATCCCATGGACAGAGGAGCCTGGTGGGCTATGGTCCATGGGGTCAGTCACCAGGTGTCGGACACGACTAAGCAACTAATGCACAAAGACCACATTAGCTTAGGTGGGGGTGATGTAGCCCAATCCTACATTTAAGTGGGTGACCAAAGCTCCCTTTTAGCCAGCTTTGGCAGAGAGCCTAAATTCTGACCAATGGGATGCAAGCAGAAGTAATTTGTGCAACCAAATGGTCACATCCTTCTAAAGGAAGTTAGTGGTTCACTTCCTCTATCCCCTTCCTGCAGCTGTGCCCAGAGATAAGGCTTTGATGCAGACAAGGACCCCTAGTAGGGGATGAAACCTGATGGAACAGAGGCAACTACCTGCCCTCTACCACTCCTTCAAACACTTCTAGGAAGAGAAAGAAACATCTATCTTGTTTGATTTGCTGTAGTGCGGGGCCTCTGTGACAACAGTTAACCCTATATTCGAAGTAACATGGTATGTATTTATAGTATTACCACTGCTAATAACTGTAATGAGCATGCATCTAGTGCTTATTACATGCCATGCTCTACTCCAGGCACTGTACATGCAATAGCTTGTTTAATCCTCACAACAGCCCTATGAGGTGAGTACTGTAATTGTCCCCATTTTACAGATGTGAAAACTGAAACATGAGGAGATCAAGGGACTTGTCCAGGGTCTTCCAAGAAGCATGGTGGAGTTGCACCCAGCACTGACTCCAGAGGCCACGTTCCTAAGAGAAATCATAGAAATCTAGAGTATGGGATGCAGGCAGTGGGAAGGAGAAACTTCCTTTTTAACATTATATAGGCTAGACTGTTTGAAGTTTTTATAATAGGCATGCACCTGTTTTCATAATTTAGAAAAGGGAAGTTTAGGTCTAGATATTTTAGTGGAAAATACACACCATGGAGAGAGGTAACATTAGCTTAAAATGCAGCTCAGAAAAGAAGACAGGGACTTCCTTGGTGGTCTAGTGGCTAAGACTCCGTTTCCCAATGCAGGGGGCCTGGGGTTCAATCCCTGGTCAGGAAACTAGATCCCTCATGCCACAACAAAGACCTGGCAGAGCCAAACAAATAAATGTTTTTTAAAACATAGAAGACAATCCACTTCTGGGTTCTAACGGCACCCTCACCCTCAGAGAGAGCAGGGAAGTGGGTGGACGGCCCTGATACTGTAACGGGACAGTAGCAAAGGGTGGACTGAATGCTAAGAGAAGCAGAATGAGACCGAACTGCCCCACAGATGGGCCAGACGAGCCAGCTGGTGAGTGTTGTCCAAACAACCGGTTCAACATGCTTCTCATTTTTCATCATTTGTTTTGCCATAATCTATCATTAGTATAAACCTAGAAAGCAAAAAAACCCCGTCTCAGTTAAACACTCCTCCCCTGAGAGGATCTCAGGCATACTGTCTCTCTTTACATTTGTAAATATTTAGCACTCAAGTTCCTGGAAGAAGAAAACTACTTGACTTTCCTAAACCTCCCTGGGCTGCGGGACAACCCCATGGGGCATATGTTCTAAACCAAAATGTCACACCATATTTGGGCTGAAATGAGTGGATGGCTGATGGTTTTTGTTTCAGATCTTCTAATGTGAATGAAGACTATTAGGTCTACACAGTTACCAGACATAAATAAACCGTATAAACTGTATGGGCAGTAGATCTGTACACTCACAAAAATAAATGACCTCAGGGGTTTCTGGCCATTTATTTATCTGCAGGGTTTCGAGGCCAAGAGGAAATTCATGTTCGTTACACACAACATCATGGGAGTCCCAAGCTGGCAGACATATATAGTTACATACACATTTCTATATTCTTTATGCGGGTCTTCCCTGGTGGCTTAGCAGGTAAAGAATTGGCCTGCAATGCAGGAGACCCCGGTTGCAGGAGACCCCGGTTCGTTTCCTGGGTTGGGAAGCTCTGCTAGAGAAGGGATAGGCTACCCACTCCGATACTCTTTGGCTTTCCTGATGGCTCAGCTGATAAAGAATCTGCCTGCAATGTGGGAGACCTGGGTTCAATCCCTGGGTTGGGAAGATCCCCTGGAGAAGGGAAAGGCTACCCACTCCAATATTCTGGCCTAGAGAATTCCATGAACTGTATAGTCCATGGGGTCGCAAAGAGTTGGACACGACTAAGTGACTTTCACTTTCACTCCTTGGTGGCTCAGATGGAAAAGAATTTTCTTGCAATATAGGAGACCGAGGTTTGATCCCCTGGTTGGAAGATCCCCTGGAGAAGCAAATGGCAGCCCACTCCAGTATTCTTGCCTGGAGAATCCCATGGACAGAAGAGCCTGGCAGGCTACAGGCCACAGGATCACAAACAGTCAGACACAACTGAGCAACTAATACGTTCACTTTTCATTCTTTAAGTGTATTTTTCACAGTTAACCATATTCAATTAAAAGAACTCTTCTTGATTCTGACCCTGTGTAATTCCTATATTTGAGTATGAAATTATCCTGTCATTTATCAAATGATGGTGATGACCATAGAAAGTTGCTGATTCTATGTTGAGCCCCTCAAATTTCACTTTAAATTTTATAGGTCTCAGGATTCCACAATTCTGGGAGCTAGTAAAAAAGATATTAATAATAGGGTCCCAGATGGCCTGGCTGCACTAGGTGATGCCCTAAAATAGAAAGCACCGTCTGTGTTCCCCTCCTTTTGGTACACATAGGCTGGGGGTGGGGGTGGGGTGGGTCTTTCCTTTCGCAGGAAGTGGTTCATTTTTTCTCTCCTACAGTAAAGATCCTGAAAAACAACCACCCAAAATATCCATCCCCCTCCCATTTGTCCTTTCACCTCTAATAGGAAATCCTCTATTTTTTCCCTTCATTTCCAATCTGAGAGGTTAACTGATGTTCTAGTGAGTTTTTGACTCCCCCTTAAAACAGAGGCCCTGCTCATTAGCTTGTATTCCTAACTCGAACTCTTCCCCACAGGCCAGGAGAGGGGGCAGGCCTGGGTCAAGCCACTGCACAGACTGGAGAGGATCAGGTGAGATGACCCTGGCCAAGGGCTCATAGCAGATCCTTTATGGTTTAATTGGGAGGAGCAGAACAGAATCAGGCCCAGAAAATAAGGCAGAATTCAGATACCAGCTGGTGGCCCTTTCAGCAGTTGCTCTTCACGCCCCAAACACCACAGAAGCACACATATACGCACCACACACTCACATATACATGCACACACACATGAGTCTACACGCTGACCTCACCCACCACTCCTCTCTCTCCCCCTGGCTCAGCCACTCTGACTGCTTCACATACCAGGCCTGTTCCTGCCTCAGGATCTTTGCACGGACGGTTCCCTCTGCCTGGAATACTCATAGCTCATTCCTTGGCTTCCTTTTAGTTTTTCTTCACTTGACACCTTTACAGTGAGACCTTCCTTGACCACCTTATTTAAAACTCACACTTCCCTATGGCAGAAAGCAACCCAATATTGTAAAGAAACTATACTTCAATAAATAAACAAAATCCACACTTTCCTTCTATCACTACATTCCCAATACCCAGTTCATCTCTGTTTTCTTGATAGCACTTAGCCCTTTTTACATATTAGATAATTTACTTATTATATTTATTTTCTGTCTCTCTCAATTAGAATGTAAATTCCATGATAGAAGGAAAGTTCATCTCTTTCATTCAACGCTCTATCCCCAGTGCCTAAAACCAGGGGGTCAGCAAATAATAGCCACTGGCCAAACCCCACCCACCTTAGTTTAGTAATAGTCAGTAAGCTCAGAAATATTTTTACATTTTATTATTTTACTATATAGTATTTATTTTGATGGAAAAGCAGTTTAATGCAATGACTGAAAAATAAGCTTACATGAAATAATTATTGACTTAGCCAGGGATATAGAATGCCAAGACCAGTGAATTTCTAAATTGAAAGTTGAAATAAGAACTTTAAAGTTTCTTTTAAGCTGTAAAAATAGCTTACTTTTTTGGGGGGTGGAGACTGACACCATTCAATATTTAGTCTCAGAATCCACAAGTGTTCATGATATATTCAGATAATTAAGACCAATTTAGACCATTGTTTATTAGAGAGGTCACCCACACATTGATATCATTGTCTATATTTCATTTGAATATAGATTTAATATAAGTTTAATGCAGAAATTTTTTACATTTAAAATATTTTTTTTAAAAAAACAAACCAAAATAACAACAAAGACTCACTATTTAGCCTTTTGGAGAGAAAATTGTTTTAAGAGCTGAGGTCATTACCTCTTGACCCACAAAGACTAAAGTCTTTACTATTTGGCCCTTTACAGAAAGCATTCACCTATCCCAGGCTAAAACATTACCCAGCACATAGCAGATGCTGAAAGAATGAACAAACAAATAAGTGAACACCATTTTCCTTTTAAACAAATAACTTAATAGAGATCAGACCTGTGGTTGCCAAGGTGAGGTATGGACTGAAGCCCACCAGGCTCCTCTGTCTATGGAATTTTCCAGGCAAGAATACTGGAGTGGGTTGCCATTTCCTCCTCCAGGTGATCTTCCTGACCCAGGCAGAACCATCTGAGCTACCAGGGAAGCCCAAGTTTGAGATTGCCAGCTTCAAACTAGTATGCATAAGATGGAGAAAAAACAAGGTCCTATTGTATAGAACAGGGAACTATATTCAATATCCTATGATAAACTATAATGGAAAAAATATGAAAAGTAATGTACACATATGTATAACTGAATCACTTTGCTGTATAGCATAAACTAACCTAATGTTATAAATCAACTATCCTTCAATAAAATAAACTTTTAAAAAAAAGAGTGAAGAAAGGTTGAAATGCCCCTCCTTGATCTCTTTCCAATGTCTGGGTTTAAATTTTGTTTGTTCTTACAACTTTGTTTGTGCATAAGGAATGGGTCATTTGTAATCAGAACTAAATGGAGTGATGGGAATTATCTGGAATGGAGCCTGAGGAGAAAGTCCAATTCCAACAGTCAGCAGATGGGCAGCTTTGATCAATGATTCTCCATCTGTCCAGCCCCT